CCCTACACTAGCCGAAGCATTAGATTTTCTCTTGAAAGTCTTTCAACGGGATATGCCTTCTAAAGAAGCAAGATGGCACCTTTACGAATAACAGCAGCGAATCTCTGCAATACTTAATTCAAGTGAATTTCCCAGTCTCTTATTAGGAACAGGATCAGATGAAAAATATCACTTTCGTAGAAAGGTTCCAAAAAGTGAGGAGTCATGACAAATCTGGCTCCATTTTTGATAGCGGCAAGGCAATTATGAAGTATAGTAAAGATGGACTAATTGGCCCCCACCCTTTTGGCGGAAAAATTAAATCCGATTTCGATGAAATCTAGTTTCTACTCTCTCTTTTATTAGAGAAACCTAAATGTATAATATGGGAAAGATTGGATAACAATAACGTCCAAAACCTATAATCAATTAATGTTATGCAATTTCGGTTAGTTTTAGTTTCCAGCTTTCCACCCTCAGTAATTCAAAGGTTATATTTAAAATTTTATAAGCGTAAATATGCTGAATTCTCTCAATTTGTGGGCTCATATTTCCTTGTTTTTTGAAAAATTCTTTGCGCAAAACTATGTAGGTAAAATTCAGCTGAAAATCGAAAAATTAAGAAAATCGAAAGTTCGCGCGAAAATATACAATTATATGCTCGGAAATTACAAGAAATTTTCTATAACATTCGTCTAATCTCAAGACCTGACGACTCGGTAATAACATTTTTTTACTAATAACCGTTAGCATTTACATTTCCAAGTCAATTTTTCCAGGGACCGTAATAGTTATAACTTATAAGTAGGGTTGCCAGACGTACAGCTTTTGGGAGTAAACGTACTCATTTTTATAGCAAACTACTCGATTGTATCCAAAAACAAAATCTGGAAATGTACTCTTTTTTTAGTTTGTACTTCTTTTGTACTCCTTTTTTCAGCTATTCATTTTTTATCAAATACAGGGTGTTTTCTACAGATTTTACTTAAATTTTATTAATAAGTTTTAAATTTTAACCTTTATTATGGTTTACCAGCAGTACGGTAAAACTTTGAGAGAAAAGCGCAAGTGGCACGCAAGTCTTCGTCGGTTACTTTATTACATATCTTCTGTAACAATAGGCTAATTTCCTCCATTTGAGTCCTTTATACTCCGCCTTTTGTTCAACATAAAGCCTCATACCCAACAATCGGTGCCATTACATAGTGCCAAGTGGCATAACTCCCATTTTATAATTTGGGATTATGTCACTCCTTGTGTAATGACATAAACCCAATTTTTATACCGGAGCGCACTTGTGCCCAAGAGTATTATAACTTTGTTCACATAACGGTTGTTTGTAACAGGCAAAACGAATCGAGATAGATGTAGAAAAATGTATACATAAATGATCAGAATCAAAAGAGAAATCGATTAAGCGGTGACTGTCTGTCCGTCCGTCCGTCCGTCTGTGCACACGATAACTTCAGTAAAAATTAAGATAACTTAACGAAACTTGGTACGTGTACTTCTTTCGGACGTAGGACGGATGGTGTTGAAAATGGGCAAAAGCGGACAATAACCACGCCTACCTCCCATATAACGTTAGCTTTCAGAAATACGAAACCTACGATATTTTAGTAACTACTGAAGATTAGTCACTCAAAATTAATATTTAAAATAATTTTCAGACGAAAACTAGGAATATTATAAAGTTTTGAAAATGGGCGTAGCGACGACCACTTATGATCACATATATGTATCACGGTAACCGTTACCGTCTACCAATTTTTACAAAACTCGGTATGGTTATTGTGCTTGCCACATAAAAGCAAAAAGTTGAAAATTATTGAAATCGGGCTAAAATTACGGCCACTTTTTATATAACGGTAAATTTCAGTAATGTTTGAAACTCCTATATTTTGAAATTGAAGGACGCTAATTTACCTAAAATTGATACTAACAACAATCCTTTGAAAATAAGTAACATTATTTGGAATTTTTGAAAATGGGTGTGATACCGCCCACATATGACTGCATAAGTTTATCTCATTATGTCTAACTGAACGTTCTATCGAAGATGTTTAAAATAGGGGCAAAACCACCCTTATGTAGCGGTAGTTTTCTGAAGGGTCAAAAGCATATATTTAATACTTGCGCCGGGTATTTAATGTTGGGCTTCGCCCGAACTTAGACTTTCTTACGGGGCACCGAAATTGCGCATATGGGAACTGTGCATTTAGACATTATTTCGGATTTCGACCGAAACTGTGCATGTATGCATACCTTCGTCTTTCACATATGCATTATTTCGGTATTCTAACGAAAGTGTACATATGGATAATTTCGTTTTTTCTAATATGTATTATTTACTTCTACTTAGTAAGGCTTTTAATCCCTAAGCGCGGCCGAAGGCCGCCTACACAGAAAGAAGTTCTGCCCAAAAAGACTTCCGGTCCCCTTTTCCGGCAACACAGAAAGAAGAATTCTACTTAGTAAGGGATATAATCCCTAAGCGCGGCCGAAGGCCGCCTACGCAGAAAGAAGTTCTGCGCAAAAATACTTTCGGCCCCCTTTTCCGGCAACACGGAAAGGAGAGTTCTACTTAGTAAGGGTTATAATCCCTAAGCGCGGCCGAAGGCCGCCTAGGCAGAGAGAATTTCTGCGCAAAAATACTTCCGGCCTTCTTTTCCGGCAACACAGAAAGGAGAGTTCTACTTAGTAAGGGTTATAATCCCTAAGCGCGGCCGAAGGCCGCCTACGCAGAGAGAATTTCTGCGCAAAAATACTTCCGCCCTCCTTTTCCGGCAACACAGAAAGGAGAGTTCTACTTAGTAAGGGTTATAATCCCTAAGCACGGCCGAAGGCCGCCCACCGCGAAAGAAGTTCGTTTTAATGAATGCACTATTTCGGTTTTTGTCATATGCATTATTTCGGTTTTTTTCGTATGCATTATTTCGTATGCACAGTTTCCGTATGCACAATTTCAGGGTGCCTTTCTTACTTGTTTTACTTGGGGTTATGTCACTAAACGAAAAGGCGAAAAATGTAATTTTGGATTATAACCCTTACTAAGTAGAATTCTCCTTTCCGTGTTTTTTAAGCTGAATAACGGTAAATTGCAAATACATATATCGAAAACTTACTTATGGAAAAAATACTAGATTTTCGGAATCAGCAAGCGATTCTGCATAGGAATTGGATAGTGGCATCCAGTGCGCATATTTGTTGTAAGTCAGGGTTTTTTATGACACAATTATAAATATAAAAATTTTATAAATATCAAAATGTTTGTGTTTTTCTCTTACTTTTCTTGCTTAATTCCGATACTATACAAGTTGATGTTTTTGGAAATGCTTCAAGTTTTTATTTGCCTTAACGTATATATTTGAAAAAAATATATAATTTTTGATATTCCAATAATTAGATTTATGTTATAACGTTAGATAAGTAAGGATAGTTCCCAGTTTTCTTACTAAAATCCTATGAAAATTCACTATTTTGCTACTATCTCCCTCACTACCAGCGTAGTACTTTTCAGCTTTAAATCGGTCTGGCTCTTGGTTTAGCAACCGAATTAATGTCTGGCAAACTAATTTTAGATTCATTATCTAGTACTTAAACAAAATCATATTAAACTTTGAGCTTTATTAAAATGAGTTGGAAAATTATTATTTTTTAATAAAAAATGAGGTATGGCACAATATTAGCAACAACGGACATATGTATCTGACAATAATAAATCTACGTTTCTAAAAGCTAGTTATAGCCTATGAAAAGAAAATTAGCCTTGCTAAAGTTATTTAAAAAATTAGCATTTTTAACTGTAAAGATACGATGCGCACTAGTCAACGCAACCATTACCGCCTGCCAGATGGCCCCACGCTAACCGAGGGAGTGAGAGAGATGTCATATCAAAAAACCAGCTGTCCTGAAATTCTCTCTCGAACTACATATATTAAATGATATATTTACTAGAAAGAGCAATACCTTTTATTTGGTATATAATTTTATATAGTTAGGTTTAAGGACAACTGCCAACAGCGCACTCTGCTTACATCATGCGTTTTATTTTTCGTTCAAGAAACAAATATTACCTGGTGATTTTTTATTTTTCATTCCAAAATTAAAGGTGAGATCCCACGATTGCCGCAAATGGACCAATCTGGAACAATGTGCTGTATTGGACACAATAAAAAAATTGTCCCAATGAAATTCTGTACAGTCACACGGTTGCCTCTTTTTATACAATTCTCATTGCCGTTAGTTGGCGAAAAGCAATATAGTGACAATAATTGCCCCAAACTTATCACACGATTGTTCGAGCATGCGGCAATTGTGACCATAAAGTGTTCCGCTGACCTCTAAATTGTGTTTTTCTCTCTGTTGTGTAAAAATGGCGTATTCTTAATAAAAACAAGTAAGAAAGTCTAAGTTCGGGCGGAGCGGAACATTAAATACCCGGCGCAAGTATTAAATTATGTTTTTTCACCTTTCCGAAAGCTACCGCTAGATGGTGAGCCGGGGTGTATCAATTTTGAGTAAATTAGCGTCCTTAAATTTCGAAATATTGAAGTTTCAAGCATTTCTGAAATTTACCGTTATATGAAAAGCGTCCGTAATTTTAGTCCGATTTCAATAATTTTCAACGTTTTGCTTATATGTGGCAAGCACAATAACCACACCAAGTTTGGTATAAATTGGTAGAACGGTTACCGATATACATATATGTGATCATAAGTGGGAGGTGCCAGGCCCATTTTCCAAAATTTTACCATTAACGTATTTCTTGGTAAAGAATTGTTGCAAGCATCAACTTTGAATAAATTACACTAAGTAACAAAAAAAAAAAATTTCTCAGTCCTTGGGATGTAATTGTTATATCCTAGTCTGTTATGCCTTAAAAGTTTGGAAACCACCTAATATTCCTCGGAAACTTTGCTTTTGTGACCAGGACAATGTGATTCATTAAAATATGCTAAAATTATGAGAAAAACGTGTTTGAGTCTTTCACTACAGAGAAAATCATACAGAACAGCACATATAAATCAAAACTAAATTTTATTAAAACTTCAGAAAACCAAAAACATAAAAGTAAATCAGAAGCGGGTGGTTTTTCGACATTTGCGTTTAAACTGCGAGTCACTTTCTCTAATCAATCCCCAAATGTAATCTCCCATCATGTTCTCATTGTATTGTCCTTGGTATCGCCGCTCAAATTCCATTATATCCTGATGGAAGCGCTCGCCTTGCTCCTCTGAATATGCTCCCATGTTCTCCTTGAATTTGTCAAGATGTGCATCCAGAATATGGAGTTTAAGAGACATCCTGCAGCCCATTTTGCCGTAGTTCTCCACCAGACTTTCGACCAGCTCCACGTAGTTTGCGGCTTTGTGATTGCCTAGGAATCCCTGTACCACTGACATAAAACTCATCCAAGCAGCTTTCTCAACACGAGTGAGCTTCTTGGGGAATTCCTCAGACTCGAAGATTTTCTTTATTTGTGATCCAACGAAGATACCGGCTGTAACTTTCGCCTCAGAGAGCTTAGGGAACAAGTCTTGTAGGTACTTGAACGCTGAAGAATTTTTGTCGAGAGCTTTGACGAATTGCTTTATAAGACCCAGTTTGATGTGGAGTGGTGGCATCAGTACCTTCTGGGGGTCCACCACGGGCTCCCACTTGACGTTGTTCCTCCCCACTGTGAATTCAGTTCGTTGTGGCCATTCACGCTTACTGTAGTGTGCACTGTCGTTTCTGCTGTCCCACAGGCATAGAAAGCAAGGAAACTTGGTGTAACCGCCTTGCAGGCCCATTAAGAATGTCACTATTTTGAAATCTCCGATCACTTCCCAGCCATATTGCTCATACTTCAATGCGTTCAGCACTTTCTTGACATTGTCGTAGTTCTCTTTGAGAGATACTGAATGCGCCAGAGGAAGAGACGGATACTTGTTGCCATTGTGAAGCAACACGGCTTTGAGACTCTTGCATGAGCTGTCAATGAAGAGCCCATCTTCGCTGATGAAGAAGTTGGAAAAAAGTTCGTGACGCTTCCTCTGACATGTGACTTTAACACTAGGATCCAGCAAATTCCACTGCATCAGTCTGGACGTCAAAAGTTCAGCATCGGACTTGGTTAGACCAAGATCTCTGATCAAATCATTCATGTCCTTTTGGTTGGGATAGTATGAGTTTTTGTTATCAGCTAGTAAATTAAATCCTTCACCTTCATTGTCTTCCACACTCATGGAATCGGGGCTCTCAGGGGAAGACACCTGCTCTTTCTCTGGAGGAGTAGGAACGGGGCGGTCAGAGCTGTGTGGAACTGGAGCCATGGATGAAGGAATGTCAGGATACATGATTTGACTTGCTTTTTTGCCAGTCCGACGTTTGGAAGGGTCCACCATGCAGAAAAAGCAGTTGCTTGAATGGTCAGTGGGTTCTCTCCAAACTCTTGGCACAGCAAACTTCATAGCTCTCTTTTCCCCTCTGTACCATCCTGAAAAAAAAAATTAGAACAGAAAAGTACTGTCTAATAAAAAAGTTAATAGAAGCATTTATTTTACCCATAACAAAGCAATATAGTTTTAAAACGTCTTACCTTCCAAAGTCCTTTTGCAGTTTTCACACGCGAAATGAGGTGCCCAGGATTTGTCTTGATCACCCACAGGCATGCCGAAATAAGCATTGTAAGCTTCGCACATTTTAAAACCTGTTTCCAAAGAGTACTTATTCGCTCTTGTTTTGATAAAATATCCGCAGACATAACAAAATGCATCTGCAGGATACTTGCAGCCTCGTGAAGCCATGTTTGAACGAATTTATCTGTAATAAAATAAGAAACAACTCTCAATAAATCACAAAAATGTTGCAAAATTTATTGCGACGACTTTGTTGTTTTAACTAGTGTTGGGCAGTATCGAGTACTTTTGTGTATTTACTACTTTGGTATCGATACTTTTAAGCATCGGGTACTGTCGATACTTTTCAGCATCGAGTACTGAGTACTTTTGGAATCGATACTGCCCAACACTAGTTTTAACACACACAAATGTAGAGAAAACAAGTTGTATGCGCTCGTGTATCAGTTTTCAACAAACAAGCATAAAAATAAACGCAGATAAGCGCTGCCATGGTCACAAAAGCAAAGTTATCTTGCGACAATAGCTGTTTTCTATACTTTTGGGACCTAACTGACTAGGAAATAACAATTACAACCCAGGGACAAAAACCTTGTTACATAGTGTTATTTACTGATTTATCGAAGATTTTGTATTTCTCTAAATTACCGTTATATGGGATGTGGGCGTGGTTATAGTCCGATTTTAAAAATTTTCGGCGATTTTTTATGCTGTACCAAGGCCAACAACTGTGCCAAGTTTGGAAGAAATTAGTGCAGCGGTAACCGAGATATACACATGTAACCATAAGTGGGCGTGGCTACGCCCATTTTCCAAAAATTTATAACACTCTTAGTTGCCGTCTAAAAATAGTTGTAAATATTAATTTTGAGTGAATAATCTTCAGTAGTTACTAAAATATAGCAGTTTTCGTATTTCCGAAAATTACCGTTATATGGGATGTAGGCGTGGTTATTGTCCGATTTTTTAAATTTTCGGCCATTTAGTATGCTGTATCAAGGCCAACAACTGTGCCAAGTTTGGGAGAAATTGGTGCAGCGGTTACCAAGATATACACATGTAACCATAAGTGGGCGTGGCTACGCCCATTTTCCAAAAATTTATAATATTCTTATTTTTCGTCTAAAAGTTATTGTAAATATCAATTTTTAGTGAATTATCTTCAGTAGTTACTAAAATATCGCAGTTTTCGTATTTCTGGAAATTACCGTTATATGGGAAGTGGGCGTGGTTAAAGTCCGATTTCGCCCATTTTCAATACCAACCTACCTTGGATTAAGGGAAACCTACATACCAAATTTCGTTGAGATATCTCAATTTTTGCTCGAGTTATCGTGTACACGGACGGACGGACAGACGGACAGACGGACGGACAGACAGACATGGCTTAATCGATTTCTTTTTTCATCCTGATCATTTATGTATACATTTGTCTATATCTATCTCGATTCGTTTTGGCTGTTACAAACAACCGTTATGGGAACAAAATTAATATACCCTTGTGCACAAGTTCGCTCGGGTATAAAAAATAAATCAATTGCACCTGCTTTGTATATTGCGGGGTCATTTTGTGCAAATTTGTTGTTGTTTGAAAGCAAAGAAGCAAAAACTTGTGCCCAACGAAAACTCACGCATTTATTTAGAAGTTTGATTGTATAGTTTTTTTATTTTTCGACGATAACTGCAACGTGCTATGTGGAGTTCAAGTTGCAACAGTTTTCTTTTTAATTTTGTTACGTAGAGGTTTTTTTATTCATTACAAGTAAAATTGGTACAAAAGAGTTATGTTTGTTTAAATGAAAGCTGCGAATTTACATAATTTATGTTTGGAATTAAATTTTATAATTATATGTACAGCTCGCAACAAAAGATAGCACCTTAACATTTTGATCAGTCTTGACTTTTTTCTTCTGTTGTTTAATCTTAATTTTTTCCTATAAAACCATAGCTCATTGTCTAGTATAAATCACATAAGTCCAAATTCCAAACTTTATACAAAAATTATAAACATTTCTTAAAATTTTGATCACAATTCAATGGTTTTTAATTTGGGTTTCTAGAAAAAATTTTGTTTTGCAGTTTACAAAGTAATTTACAGAGAAGAAAGAGCATAATACCGTCAGCTAAAAAAATTATAAAAAATCAACAGGATCTTTTAGCAACTTCAAACCTCCACCTTATTGTACTAAATTTTAATGAGCTACAAAACTAAATAACAATTTTTTTTCTAGAAATCCAAATTATAAACCGTGGGATTGTGTTCTAAAGTTTAAGAAATTTTTATAATTTTTGTATAAAGCTTGCAATTTGGATTTATGCAGTTTTTGTTAGACCTATACTTTTATACGAAAATAATGAAGATTAAATAAGTAGAAGAAAAATAGTTAAGACTGGTCAAAATGTTGAGGTTCTACTGCTTGGTCGTGGGCTGTGTTGAACTTTTTAGTTTTTTTTTTTAATAAATTTATACTGTCATGGCAGTCCGCCATTTGGTGACATAAAATACCTTTCGTATTCTTCTCGTATGAGTTTTGCTTGTGGTGGTATATATCGCGGCAAAGATTCCGTTATCGGACTTCAAGAAAAAATTATAATTTCACTACAAATTAAATTAAAAGTTATGTTGCTTCCGAAAACAAGGATATTAATTTCAGTGATTTTTGGACACATAAGGAAGCAAAAAAGTAAATTATTAATAAA